ATGAATTAAGTTATAAGCATCCATGCAGGGAGGGGGCTGTCCTGTGCTTGTTTATGTAGTTTGTAGCATTTTAACTTGTTCTTTAAGTGCAAGCCATCAGTTCCATAAAACACGCAAGGAAATGCAAGTCTTCTGTAGCAGAAATGGGAGCCTGAATCCATTTGAAATCACTGGCTGGCAAACACTGGAGGGTTAACTTAATAAATATGAGTTTTTACATGTCTATTTTAGATTCTCAGCTGCTTTCATCTCCTTAGTGCACAGCACTTATTTTCCCTCTGACAATAAATAACGTTTACATGAGCAATAAAGCGAACTCCAGGGGGTGCAGCCGTCATAAACTAAGCACGGTCCCAGGGCAAACAGCACCACAAATCTTACAAAAACAGTATGGGCGTTGTTTCCTTATCTTGTTGTAACTGCTGCCTCTTGTGTTAGGCGCCTAAATAAATGATAGTAATCCAATGCTCTGGCACAGAGACAGTAAGTTTACCTACCTTCACTTGAGCTTCCCATGGCCATCAATGTCCTTGTCATCACAAAGTTTTTACTTTCCCCCATCAAGCATTACTCAGCTTGGTCTCATCTGTAGAAGACTGTAACTGGGCTCCCCTCTCACGCAGTGTGGTGACACAGACATCCCAACGAGTGCATCTATATCACTTGGTGACTTACAATCATAGTAATGCATTTTAAAGTCACATGATAAAATTAAAACGCTGGGGAGCTAAATCATCAAATCCAACTACCACAATCGCAGAGATGTGGAAGAGGAAGGAAATTCAAACAAGCTGCAGAGAGGCAGGATCAAGCATAACTGGGCCACGTGTACCTTATCTGCATTTGAAAAGTCAGGCATGATATTATCATAGAATCACAGGATGGTTTGGGTTGGAAGGGACCCTAAAGATCATCGAGTTCCACACCTCCCACCAGACCAGATTGCTCCAGGCCCTCCAACCTGGCCTTGAACACCTCCAGGGATGGGGCAGCCACAGCTTCTCTGGGGAACTGGGGCCAGTGTCTCACCACGCTCAGAGTGAAAAATTTCTTCCTGATATCTAATCTAAATCTCCCCTCTTCCAGTCTAAAACCATTCCCCCTCATCCTATCACTACATGCCCTTGTTAAAAGTCCCTCTCCAGCTTTCTTGTAGGCCCCCTTCAGATACTGGAAAGCTGCTCTAAGGTCTCCCCGCAGCCTTCTCTTCTCCAGGCTGAAGAGCCCCAACTCTCTCAGCCTGTCCTCATAGCAGAAGTGCTTTAACTCTCTCATCATCTTCGTGGCCTCCTCTGGACCCACTCCGACAGGTCCATGTCCTTCTGCTGTTGAGGGCTCCAGAGTTCGACGCAATATTCCAGGTGGGGTCTCATGAGAGCAGAGCAGAGGGGCAGAATCCCCTCCCTCGCCCTGCTGGCCATGCTGATTTTGATGCAGCCCAGGCTACAGTTTTCTTTCTGGGCTGTGAGCGCTCATTGCCGGCTCACGTTGAGCTTCTCATCCTCCAGCACCCCTAAGTCCTTCTCCTCAGTTCTCTCCCGTGCCTACAGCTCTGTTTAATCCTAGGTTGAGATGTGCCGCCTTTGCAAATTGGTTGTTTAATCATTTCTCCTACCCTCTTTCTGGGTATCGGAAAAGCGTCTTCATTATGGTACTTCTGGATGTTCTCTGCTCTCCCCTTATTACAGTTAGATTTGCCCTTTCCCATCTCCTAAGAGCTCCCTTGTCCCTTCACAGTTTCCTGAAGCTATATCAATGATGGTTCAAGTATTGCTTAGCTAATTCTTTAATGCTTTAGGATTAATTTCATCAAGGAATAAAATTTACCTTAATATTTGTGATCTTTTTCTTGCCTTATTCTAGGCTGGAGTCCTAGTCCCGTGTTAAAATTCATTGCATTAACCAGTGAACTTTTCAGTGATGCCTGCTCCAAAGTAGACATTTAGTGGTTGTCATCTCTGGGTCCATTTTTGCTTTTCCCAAGAAATACCTTACCTGTAGTTTTACTCTCTGTTTCTTCCACTGTATTTTTCTCTTCTTTCATTTTGCTTGCTTGCTGTACCTCACATTCCCTCTTACCTTTCTGAACAGCTCCACTCACTTCTTTCTGTGCTACTTCTCAGTCATCTGCCACATTCCCATTGTTTAAGGTTTTCCCGCTCTGTTTTTCATGCTCTCGGAGTTCCTGAGGTAGCTGTTTCAGATTTTTGCTGTCCTCTGCATTGGTTTGTCTGACATGCCTTTAAACAGCCTCTGCTAGTGACTGCCAGCTCTCCTGCGCTCCATCTATCAGATTGTTTCTGCATAGATCCTTTGTACTTGTTCTTTCAGTATGTCAAAATTTGCCTTTTTGAAATCCATTTTCCTTATTCTGCTGCTCTTCATTCTTTTCTTAAAAATGTGATGTCACTTATTTTCACATTCACCCAAATGTTTTTTGATTTTTAACATGTTTTTCCCTGCTATAGTCAGCAGCAACTGCCACCCCACTTCCCACCACCTGCAGAAATAAAGCAGTCACCAAGACATACGTTTGAACTCCTGATGGTTGTACACTTTTCCAGCAGAGAATTACATAAATAAAGTCACCCAATATTAAAGATGGTTCAGTTATTTCCCCAAGTAAACTTCTGCCAGCTCCTCCTCGTAACTGCAGAGTCAGTGCCAAACACCCCCCAGCCCACACTCCACGCTCCTTCACCCTTCGTTCTCCAACCACACATACTAATTAACAAGCATTTCACCTCATGCTGAACTTCGGAGAATGTATAGACCTTTCTTCTCGTGTGCTGTACCTGGAACAAGTTGTCATTTATCATGTCAAGATCCTAGTCCTATCATTTGTCCCACAAGCACTTATAATTCTTATTAAGTTGTACCTTTTATTATGTGGAAAGTCTTTAACATCTTTTTGCATTTACTTCTAATGTACCAGCCATTTGTATAGGAGCATCTCAGATGTTTGGCTCATCTTCTCAGCCTTTGTTCCTCTCTATGCTCCTTTCACACATTTTGTTTTTATTTTCACCCACCTGCAGACTTTCACCATTGATGCTATTCAAGCCTTTGCTCTCAAACAGGACCCGGGAGAGCTTTCCTCTGGCGGATGGAGCCCAGTCATTCCCAGCTGTCCCTCCAGAAAGCCCCACGCCAGCAGTGAGGAAGAGCTGCCGCTGTGACAGTGGGACTGTGGAGCTTTGTGCTGAGATTTCACATCCTCGCATCTCATTTTCCACTTGAGGGCACCCTGCTAGGGCCTCCTGCTGGCCCCTCTTAGGGACTGCTCGTGCTTAGACTTAGCGCATCTTCTCAAGAACCTTCCGACCCCTTTGGATTCTCCCAAACATGATCCGCAACTCTGCAAGCTACTTGGCACTGCAACACTGCAAGCTACCGGCTGCCGCCAGGCTGGCCGTGCCCACAGCTGATGGGACAGGCAACAGAGCTGGTGCCAGCCCTGCGGGCAGCCAGAAGCTAATGCTGCACATGGGATGCAAGAGCGCATCTGGGTACAGACACTGGCCAGGTCTGGCAGGGTACCGAAAAACTGCAGAAAAAATGGTTCACAGCACAAATATGTCCTGATAAACAGTGGCTAGTATTAATTTAATGAATAGATTACTTAACTGGAACAAGTGTTGAGAAGTATATCCATTCTCCTTTTCGCAGCACATATGAAGAAGCGCATCGCCGGGGTGCAGCCTGTTGTAACAAATAGTAGAACTGAGCTTATTAGGAACAAAACCAAAGCTCCTTTGCTGCGGCTTCCACATAGCTGAAGTTCAAGCATGTGGTTTTGACCTCGGCCCACTACGGCCAGGATAGAACAGGGCATTTCTAGGCCTGCCAGGAAGCTACAATATGTTGAATTTCAAAACCGAAACTTCAGGCCTGAAGGTATTAAGAGCATACCTAATTCATAACAAATGGGACATATAATAAAACAATTACTGGGGCTTGCTCTAAGATCATGTTTCTGTCATGACAGGAATGTGTCAATACCCATTAGACAGCTGATGACAGGAGACTAAATAAGGCTTCAACGTGAAGAAAAATAACTAATGTGTAACTGTAGGACATACATGTATGTGCACATAAACAGCAGAATAAGAGCCATATCATTTACTTTTCAAAATGGACAAAAGAAAAAAACCCGCCTTGTTTCTTCACACAGTGAACGGATTACTAATAGGAAAAGGTGGCAGGTTTCCAAACAAAAAAAATCCCTACCTCGCCTTTTCACTTAGAGTGCTCTCACAGGGATGCTGCAGCCGCCACCTAAGCCCTACTGCCCCAGGAAGGCTGCACCGCCTTCCCCTCCTGCCACCCGTGCACCGGCTGCGACACACGCACCGGCTATGGGCACGGCCCCCGGCGGGGCAAAGTGTGCTGCGGTAAGGCAGCACACCGCTCCGCACGCTCTCCCCTTGCTGACAGATCTGGAGCCGTGCCTCACATGCACTGGCACTGCACCCAGCCTCACATGGGCTCTCAATGCGGAGCAGATGAACGAAACGAAAAGGCCTTCCTGATACAAAACAACGGGGGCTTTTAATTAAAAAGAAAATTTTATTGTAGTTCTATCATACTACTGTGTAAAAATATGGGGGATTTTTCATTCTGAAATGCTTACAAAAAATACTGGTTAAAAGAAGGTTGCAATCTTACGAATGTGTAATTATCATCAGTGACTTTGTATGAGGCAAATATACAAAGTGGCTACCACTTCTCTCTAGATGTACAGAAGAATGATACTATGCTTTTGCCACGGTGAAAATACACAGCACACCGTAGAGAACAGCTATGGACTGCCACCCTCAACATTCATTTTTTTTTTAATTTGTACGAGACCTTGAAGCATCTCTGTTAAATAACCACCTGGGAATATAGAAAACTTTCAAATTCATATGAATAATTAACTTTTTATGTTGTCTTTAAGGCACATATTTCTATCCAAATTTAATTTTGGTCCAGAGGAGCAATTGTGTGTCAGCCACCAGCTATCCAGGTATCCGACAGCTCGGTTGCTTATAACTATTCTCATGTCCGTAGACTTCAACGACATGTATTGCGTTCACTGTCTGTACTGCAGTGCTGCATCCCGGTGCAGCTTGTTTCACAGGTGCATTACTGCTTTTGGTTAACTTAGGCAGACGATCATTGTCTTTGCGACATCCAGGAGCTACGACGTCCAGAGTCCACTCCTCCCGGAACCTGTAAGCATGAAGAAAAGAGTTATTTCTGTTTCATTTGCTCTGGTGAGGATACAGAAATTTCCAATCCATTTTATTTGCACATCAGGTATTTTGCAGACGACTTGTGGTGTAACATATGTACTTGCTTGTCCTAGCTCTAAAACCAGTTGGCAGCAGTGGGGCAAATAATTGTGTCTCTCTAAAAGCTGATGCAGACCTTGAAAAGACTTGTGAGGTTGGTTTTATCTGGGGTTGGGGCAGATGTTATTTGTTTGTTTTCCATCAAACGAATCCGCAGCTTCAATTAATGCGCCATTCTCTGGAGGATCTTACTAAGAACACTTGAATGCTGAGAGTGGTGCAGAAGGGAAGCCCTTGCTTGGTTAGCGGAGCGCTGTTGGGAGCACAGAGCCCGTTGTGCTCAGTGGGATCCAAGGTGTTATTTGCAGAACTGCCAGCGATGCTTGTGCAGCCCAGTTGCATTGTGGCTTCTGCCACATCTGTTATTCTCTGGCAGCCGCTCGCACACAGGGCAGACGCTGAGGTCACTTGCCCCAGATTCACTGCAGGTGAGCTAGCTCTGCTGGCTCCTCTGGCACCGTCCGTGCTGGCCACTGAAGGCAGCAGCTCACTCATCCACATCCCAGACAGCGTGGTGGTCTTACCCTTTTGTACCTGAAAAGCTGGTCAGGAAACACAAGCCGCGTTCTGCAATGATCAGTTGCAGATAGCCAGCAGAAATGCTCATACACGAAATGTTTGGGAACCGCAGGGGAGTAACAGAAAATAAGGCCAAATAAGCAAGGTCTTGCTGTTCTGGTACAGAGTAGGTATACTGCACATACATCTTTCCTGTAAATGAGAATAAATCTTGCTCTTCACTGGAAAGCTGTATTACAAAAATATCTGGGGCATGAGCTACAGTCCGAGTGTAAAGGCATCTTACACCACCTCTGCTTCTGGTGCGAGAAGGCACTCTATCAGCACAGTCAGAATATACTCATCAAGGACGTGCTCAGATAAGCAGGATTTACCCACCTGTAATTTGGACAACACCAAACTCATCTACTTCTCAAAAAGCAGCCTGGTAACTTTACCCATTTGGTACTGACCTGTATGGTTTTCACTGTGCCTTTTAATCTCGTGCATCAACAAGCCCTGAAGTATCTTCGTGTTGGACACCAGAACACCTATCTGAGTACCCTGTGGCTTGCCATCGGGGAACAGAAGCTGCAGTAATGCTGCAGATCTTACTGCTGAAAGAAAAATATTCCGAAATACTTGCTACTGTGTTTTGGTTTTGGTTTTGTCGGGTTTTTTTTACGGTATGGGGAACTTGGTTCCGTCTTCTTGAGGCGGTAGTCAGTAGTCACAAAAGAAAAATCATGTCAAAAGGGCGTGTCCAGGGACAAGAACTGGGATTAAGTTTTGCATGGGGTAGCCACAGCCTTTGCGAACAGGATTATAGTTCATATCTAGGTATTCTGGTTATTGTGCAATATAGTTTACCTGGGCAGAATTCATCCCCTTCTGATGTTTTCTCCTAAAAAGCTCTGCATTGTGAAACTCTGCAATTACCCACCGTCTTCCACCACCTCAGAAAGCCAAACTAGCTAAAACTGTACTTGGAGAAAAACTATACTTCTGGCTAAGCAACCTCTCCCTCCCATTTCGGGAACTAGTGAGCTTCCATTGACTGAAATAAGTCCAGGAGGAGGTGACAGCAAGCACCCTCCATTCACGACCGTACATTGAACGCTGTGGATGTCAGAGGGACAGTGAAGTCAGTGCAGTTCCTCCTAAGAGGAGGCTGAGAAGAGCTATTAAGAGGGTTGCAGCGCTGAGAAGGGATAGATAGATGTGTACGCAGTGGGCCCTCCTCTGCATGCACGGCTATCAGTCTGAGGTGGCCTCCAGTTTGCACTTTCATTCTCAGGAGCTCTGTACTTTATCCTGAATAAGTGTGACTTTTTTTCAAGTGCTTCAGCTTTCCTTTACTCCAGTTTCCAGCTGGGCTACTTCAAAACATGACGGTAAGAGGATCAGAAGACCTCCCTTGTACGCTTATCTGGAAATGCAAACCCATCCAAGAATGCTAGGTGCCGAACAGCCTAGCTAGATGCACGATACATTGGACAAGGACAGACTTTGTGTGACAGATAAAGTCAGAGCTCCCATGTGGGAAGAAGAACAGCCACCATAGCATTTGTCAACGGGTTTCAGAGGATTCACAAGAATTTTGCTTTGTGCGACTTGAGAGCTGTTCCTAGCTGGAGGGAAAAGTGCTGTTAACGGGACATCCGAGGAGTGTGAGAACTCAGAGCAGTGGGGCCGCCAAAATGCTGCCTGGTGCTGGCACTGGCTCTGAAAAGAGATTTTTATACTGGAGGACGGGAGGGGATTTTTTTGTTGCTGTATGTCTGGTGACTTTGTACAAGACCCTGGGGTAATCATGGAAGCATTATGAAAACAATAATAGCAGTTTTATTGAAAGCACATGTTGCTGTGGACGCACCCTCCACGCTTGTGATGACAATTAAGATCGAAATTCAGGAATCGGTGTAATTTAGCAGCCAGCTATCCGACCCTTTGTGACAGGGCCCCAAGATGAAACCACAGCTCACTTCCCCTGCCTGATCTTTCTTTGAAATAAAAGGTGGCAGTGGGGAACACAGAGCAGAGTAACAACAAACAAGAGGGGAAAAGAAAGCCCCTCTGTGAACAGAGAAGCTCAAGGTGGGATAACTCGCAGGGTGGGACAATCGATGTAAAAGCTTGAAAAGGAAATCTGCCCCTCTCTGGTGCTGGGTCTCCTCCCCCCCAGTGCCACACAATCAAACATCGCATGAGTAGGTAACTGCATTAATTACGTACAATTGGGGCAAACAGGTCATTTGCTCTTTGCAGCCTTTTCACTTTAGGTAGCGCAGTATTCAACACCATGGTGATGATCGGTCCTGCGCCTCTTCCTGCAGCCTTGGGCATAGCCCACTCTGCAATTGTAGGTGTGCAGGGGGGCACATTCACACCCATGCCGACACTCAAGGAAGCTGTGCCAATGATCCTACACACCTACCACTGCCTCGGGTGGCTGGAGACAGCAGGGCTGAGGTCCGCGTGCCCAAGCTTTCAGACAAATGAAAGCAATTTCGGACAGCGAGGTCGAGCATAAAAGAAAACGCATGGATCTTTCGGAAGGAGTGAAGGGTCCAGCTCTCTGGTGAGACTGCTTACCTTCAAAAATACCCAGATAAATTGGTTTCCCCAGGACCTCTAACAGTCTTGCATTAAGTCACTGTTGTAGATGTTTTGCCCCCTTAATTCTCCCACTGATGCACCTCCTGACAGCCATTCTAGGTGTCCTGGTGGGCTTTTCTTGTTCTACTTGGGTTTTCCACCACGCTTTGGAGCAGCCTGTCTCTCAACCTGGGTATTTCTTCAAGTGTTGACCCCTTTCACTGTCGTAAATCTCCACACTATCCTGCTAGTAGAAGGGCATCAGATCCTTCAGCTTTTTAATTTCTTCTTCTTAACGTTCAGAAGGGAAAAGTAGCTGGGAAAGTGCCCTCAAGGGGGCAGAGAGCAAGGTAGGAATGTGGCCAAGTGTTCCATCCCATCTTGTCCATGCTCCTAGAAGGTCCTTTGGCTTATAGCCATGCTCCTCAGCAAGCCTGGGCAGACAGGAGTATTTTTGAAAGCAACACGAGTTTCTAATTCGTGCCTTCCTTGCAACTCCTTACACAAGGTAGTGGAAAACTTCAACCATTATAGCTACTAAATCAAAGAGGAAAAGAAAACACATTTTGTTTTACTGTAGAGGCCAAAGCTATGAGCTAATTTTACCAACCCTGCATACCACTTCTTGGACTGACTGAAAACGCCGAGTTGCCTCTTGTAAGAGCATGCTGGCTTTGGATTTTTTTTTGCAAAACCTTTTCACTTGGACATCTTTGTTGTTGGATTGTCCTTACTTGCTTTTTGCCAGGTACACTGGTAATGCATCTTAGAGTTAGAAAGGGCTCTGGTATAAAAATCTCAGGTACTAAAAATATCTTCTGTGGGAGAATACACTAGTCTCTTTCTCTCCAGAAGAGAGATTTTCTTCTTGATAATATGGTCCAGCTGTAGTGGATATCTGAAAAGAGGACTTTAAGCCTACTGAGACACGGGCTTTTCCATTTAACTCGCTCCTGCAGTGAGATCAGCTACTTCATAGAGAATGTTTTATAACTTGGCCTAGAGCTGTGTAAAATAATTCACCTCAGAACAGGCCAAATTTGGAATGCACAACTTCTTCCAAATGCTTCCGCACCAGGGAGAAAAAAAAATCACCAAATTTCTTTGATGCTCTTTAGATGTATTTTTGCGCTGAACTAGTTTCTTTCTGGTTGTCGCCTTAGCTGACAGAGGATGAAAAGGAGTTAGTCTACAGCTAAAGTCAGTTCTCCCCGAGCGTGGAAAATGGTGGACCATCGATTTTCCCTTGCAAAATAACAGCACATCCCTGAGTCAGGGGAATATCTATTCTAGCATAGGTTACAGGACTGTTGTGCTGAAAAAGCAAAGAAAACAGAGTCTTCCCTAGATGTGGCTATTTCTTACCATAATTAAGAAGTTGATGCAAACTGAAAGCAGCTCTCTCAGCTTTTTCTCATTACTCGCTATCTGTATTTCTCCTGAGACAGCTACCTTTTGCACATGCTTATGTATAAATGTGCTACACCTCAACCAGTGGAGTGCCCGTTGTTTAATGTCTTTGCACATCAAAAAGGTTTTGCTGTTTGCTCTCACAATGGTTATGCTAGATTGTGTATATTTTTCTGAGTTCTCCTAGAAGCACAGCTAGGACCACTTAATGGAAAAGAGCACACCGCTATTTCATTTTGGGAGTCACAAGCAAGTTTCTCCACCTTGGTCCAGGCAGGGGATCTCAAGGCCAAAGTGGCCTCAGCCCACCGTTACCAGTAGCTGGCACAGAGGAAGGACAGTTGGCATTAAGCTTCTCTTTACTGATATTTTACCCCACACTGGTCACGGGGCAGAGGACAACCTGCCTGCTCAGGCAGCCAACTAAGTCCAAGCTCTCCCATGTGGGTGTTTGCTGGAGATGGAAGAGGACTGTTCATCTCAGGTGGTGGTTGCCCAAGCAATTATTCCAGAGAAAGATTACTGCAGGGTCAGGTCTTATTTTTTGTAAGAAAACAACAGACTCAAAAATAGCATATCCTGCTCTGTAACACACCCATCTCAAAAAACCTCTTAAACCCAGCACGGCGTTTCAAGCGCTAGTTCCTCTGCAACACCAAACGTCCCTGTTGCTCAGGGCTCTCCCCAGCGATACCCATGGTCCTGCTCCAACTGCAGGCAGGTGTGGTGCTCTCTGCTGCTTTGAGGAAGGTCTCTCACTTGGGATGGATGATGCCAACAGTCCTGGTTTCATCCTCATGCAGAACTGGGAAGCACTTTAAATCTTAAAATGTTAAAGAGAGCCGAATATAATTTACTGACTGTAGGCTTTTCTCCTGATACATGCTGCAGTCAAGCTGGGAGAGCTATTCCCAATACATTCCCGTGTTGACAAGCCCTGCCTCTGCTGAGCAATCCTCCGGGGGACTGGTTTGGAGGTTCATGCACATTGTCCTCCCCTAACTACGTGGCCCAGAGCCGTGGCTAATCTCCCTCCCATAGATGACAGACCCTTTTCTTCAGCTAATCTGTCTCAAACCTCTGCATCCCGCAGTGACCTGCTATCTCTGCTCTATGCTCTAAACTGCTGAGAAGCAACACTGGGGAAAACCTGTCCCTCCCAGCGGCCCCGTGCCTTGTAACTTGGCTTTCCCTGCTCAACATTAGTTAGCTCTCCAAATGTTATAAAAGAGCAAATACGCTGTAAATGCTTGCAGTGCCTGCATATAAGACTCTCTCTGGTAAAAACAGGTATTTTTATCCTCATTATGATTCCTTACATCCAAATGAAAGAGGTGGCATCAACAGTGACTGCACTCTGCAGTTAATGATCCCAGGTATTTGTAGAGATATTTCTCAGCATTTTAAAGCAATTTGTTCAAGCAGCCAAGAAGCCAGAATGGGGCTCATTATAATTAGAGTAGTTGCCATTAAAATTCAACCTTTCCCTGGAAAACTCTATATTCATCACATTTGTTCCATGCTTCAAACATGAGGGAAAAAAGATCTCATTTTGTGGCAGACAGGTCCAGAACTGGAGCCTCTCCTGTCCAACAGCTGGGCTTCTACATTATTTATAACTTCTACACATCGGCATTCTGCATGCACACTATGTCACCTCGTTACAGTCAAAATTATCTCATTGGCAAACTAAGGCACCACTTTAACAGATGATAGTTTTTTAATCCCAAATGTCTCTGTAAACCATAACAAATATCTTACCAGTCTGAAATAATTGGCTTTTTATTTTACATTGGCTTACCTGAAAGAACTGGCTTTTTATTTCATTTGTTCTTACAGTATTTTTGATCTTTAAAGTGGTGAATCAAAATGTTAATCCTTAGTTAATCTCTAAATCTATTTCAATCAACTCTGAAAAGCAGCCTGACCTACATCCGTTTCTAGTCAAAAATAGGCTAAGATATACTCAAGAGGGTCTTCTTCAAGGGTGGAGGAGTTCTCACTCTTCCAGATACTTCATAGGTTACGTGAAGAAGCAGCAGAACAGTTTTCTTTAAGAAAAGGAAATGCTATCGTGAAACCAACATAAATTGCCAAGTCTCCACCCACTGCTTTCTCAGGCAAGGGCACCACTCAGCTCTCAGCCTTCCCCTTCTAAGTGGGTCGCAGAGCCACTTCCCATGGCTGTACCGCAGAGAGCAACGGGTGCCGCAGCCCTGAGAAAGGCGGGGAGAAAACAATCAGCCTCCTGTGCCGCTTAGGACAGCTCCTTATTAGAAAAAACATAGCCAGATTTCTGATTTGCTCAGAGGTCTAGCGATGCATTGCACAAAATCCTCCAAATGTCTGCAATGTTAACACAAGAACAGGACAGGACAGGACGGGACGGGATGGGATAGGATAGGATAGGATAGGATAGGATAGGATAGGACAGGACAGGACAGGACAGGGCAGGACAGGGCAGGATAGGATAGGATAGGATAGCATAGGATAGGATAGGATAGGATAGGATAGGATAGGATAGGATAGGATAGGATAGGATGTTTCAATTAGAAGGGACCCTAAACGATCATCTAGTCCAACCGCCCGACCACTTCAGGGCTGACCAAAAATGAAAGCATATTATTAATGACACTGTCCAAATGCCTCTTCTTGAACATTGATGGGCTTGGGGCATCAACAACCTCTCCAGGAAGCCTCTTCCAGGGTTTGACCACCCTCTTGGTAAAGAAATGCGTCCTCGTGTCCAGTCTGAACCTTCCTTGCGGAGCCTTAGTTAAATTATCTTTTGGGTTGTTTATGCCCATGGACATACACTTCAGTTCACATGCATGCTGCAATACACAGAAGATTTCTTTTGGGGTCGCTTGCCATCAGTTTTCCCGCTTTTGTCCAACCATGCCGCATGCCTTTATTTATTCCCTTGGACAATCAATGCTATAGCAGCTCCACTGATACAGCAACACCCCACATAGACAGATATCTCCTCCAAGCATGGGTTGCCAACACATCCACTTCACGTTAAACGAAGGAAGGTACCACAGAAATAACCCAGGTAGTGAACATGTCCTTTCACGACGGTCTTTCCAGCATAAGCCAGCTTCTTGTTTGCACCTCCCCCGGGATTTGCCTAACCTGTCCCGCTGTTCCCAGTAAGCTGGATGTGCAGAGGACGATGAAACTAAGGCTAATTCACTACATACAAAAAATAAGTCTTGTAAGTGAAACACAATGGTGACAGATCACTTGTCTTCGAGGGCTGGCATGAAATACATTAGCAGAATTCCCACATCTCATCCTGCACGTGTATCCATTTAACAGAATTAACCAGTAGACATTAGCATCTCTTACTAACCTTGATTAAATAGATCTTATTTGAGTGAAGAAAGGGAACCAGGTACAAACTGATAAAGGGTCACACCTGTTCCTTCAGCAATTCCAAGACAGTTTTAATCAGTCTGTCACAGCTTCAATGCCATTTCCATCTCTGAATCGAAGTGCCACCCGTTCTCCACGTGAGGAACGGCTCAACTTTTGGCCCTGGGGTGCACAGGCCAATACACCTGCTCCCCCAGCTGATTTTTGCCCTGGCTCATGATCAGCCAGGATCCCATCACCTCTGCACGCTGGAAATAATGCAGACCTCGATTAATAGTGGACCTCATACATCAGGAGGTGGGCACATGCACCAGTATTTAACATAGAGTGTGTATTGTTCTATGCAGCAAAAAAAGAGCTCACAGGCTTTCCTCCTCCTGCCCTCTGCAGCTCCCCACTGAAGTTTATACTTCTTCCCATTTGCTAAAGAAATAATAAACTTGTTGATTTCTGGCCCCCGAGAAGCTGCTTATCCAGAAGAACTGTATATTCCCTGCTACTTTCAGTTAAGAAAAAGTGTACAGAATTTGGTAAACATAATACAGCAGCTTCTGCTCCATGGAGTGGTGCAGATAAGAACCCAAAGGAGCTCCAGGCACCAGCAGAGCACAAACCGCTGTTTACAGCCCTTTATACATCTATCCATATTATTTTAAAAGCACATTACACTTATACAAAACATTAACAATGTAGCAGATTGAAGGTGCCCAAAATTAAAAATTGCATCCTGAGTCTTCTAAAAACTGTTTGGGTTATAATCAGCATTTAATTAGCTTTATATATCTTTCTGAAATCACCCAAAGCTAGGAATTGATTAAGCAGCCATCAGACTTTTGTGCAAGAGTCCCATTTGAATATAATTTCCAGCTGCACTGTGACATGGAAGTTGGTTTATAATCTGCAGAAAATCGTTTTCTGCAGGTAACCACTACAAATCACACATACTGCTGTACATAAAAGCCATACAAGCACGCAGTGAATTAAAAGCAAACAAGGATTGTGCTATATATTATCGTACATGAAGACAAAACAGAACCCAAAGGATGTAAAAGACACAATGACGTGTGTTTGTATGAATGGTAATAGCAAAACAGCGGTTAGAATTGAACACATATTCATTTTTCTGCTTTTCTTTTGTTGGCAACAACACAGCCAGCGTAACACATTTGGACGCTTTCAGATGTGATTTTGAACTGGCACAAAGAAACACCTATGCCGCCCATCCACAGCACGTGATGCACTTTAGTTCAGCATGGGCATTTCCTCTGCCCGCCCCGGGGGCAGGGCTCCCACGCTGTGGGCATTCACACTGCCCGGAGGATGAGGATTCCCTTGTGTTTGCCCTGCACGCCCTGACAACCAAATGATATTTCTCAAGAGGGCTTTTGCGGTCAGCGAGGGATAAATGGTAACACTCAGCGCTCACCTTGAGCCGTACCGCAGCCCCAGGTGTCCCCGCCTGGCTCCTCTCCTAAGGCTCTTAGGCAAGCTGGCACCTTCACACCACTACCCAATACCGGGCACTGACTTTCCTGCTGCAGTTTAGCATCAGTTTAACAAAGCCAATTAAAAACCTCTCCCCAGTTAATCTGGTGCGACCTCACCTGCAGACCGAGCTTAACCAAGCACTCCCGGGGACAGAGGAAAGAAGCTGTAAGGAGGGAGGTCACGCTCAGCTTCTCCGCTGTCTCACCTTTCAGCAATGTTAATTCCCCACAGGACGGCAAGTTCAAGGATGAGCCCTGACAATCCACTGGCATCACATCCCCTTCAGGGACATCCCTTTAAAATGCATTTTCGAAGAATCCTCTTTCTAAATTTTGTTCAAGAAACTCATTCAAACCCACTGTATATTAATAGCCTTACCTACAGAAGCCTTGGTTATCATATGCCATGTTAGTCACATCATCAAACACAGATTTATTCCTGAGTTTCTTATTGTTGTTGTTATTGTTTCTTCCCTTAAAACCAAAATAAGCAGCTTGCATGTGTTCTAGTTCTTCAGTTCTGAGCTGGTACCACAGCTGCATATCTCTGTGAATAAAGCAAGGGGATACAAATACAATACTGTGATAAACGGCGGTATATCCGAGCTTTTATCTGACCACAGCCCTGACTCACTAGAGTTTAAATCTAAATCCAGGTTTACTGAAGACAGCACTTAAACACATGCTGAACTTCAAGCATAAGCCAACTTTCCAGAGACCTGCTTAAATACCTTAAGGCAGACAGTTCTTAAATAGCGTAAATATCATTCTGTGGACAGTTCAAAGTAACAAAACCCCAATAATTATGTCAGTTTGATTCAGTGGATTTTGAGACTACAGCTAATAAGAAGAGTCACGTAAAGTGTGATGTTGTGTCAATGTTCTCCTGGACCTTCATCAGTGACACCACATCAGGCCAGATCCTGTTGTACGTGAAAAGACTACAGACTATCCCCATTTTATGGAATAAATTATTTCAGGAGAAGAAAAAAAAAGTATTTTCTGTGCATTTTTGCAATGTTGCCATTCCTAAGGGTTCCAAAATCACCAGGCAGGTTGAAAAGATGAATTGACTTAAAAATGGAGGAGACAGGTAATGTTGCCTCATTTTGTATTAGGTTACCAAGCCTGCAGCTTCTCTTGGGTGAATGCTTTGTGCATCCAAAAGTCGATCCACATTTTCCAGCTACATCAACTGACCTCACAAAAGAGATCTTCTCTACCTGCAGACCCTCATGCACTTGTGGCCTTGGATGCTGCCAGCTGCAGCAGTGCGACCACCACATCTGGCACCCTGCAGCATGGGCTGTGGGTCGAGCAACTGTCCTACAGCGTTGCGTCACTCGTTCTGGCGTGACAAGCTTCTATAGGAATGGATGGAGAGCAGCCCTGAGGAGAAGGACTTGGGGGTGTTGGTTGATGAGAAGCTCAACATGAGCTGGCAATGTGTGCTCACAGCCCAGAAGGCCAACTGTATCCTGGGCTGCATCCCCAGCAGCGTGGCCAGCAGGGTAAGGGCGGGGGGATTGTGCACCTCTGCTGTGCTCTGCTCTGGGGAGACCCCGCGGCAGTGCTGCCTCCAGCTTGGGGGGTCCCAACAGCAGAAAGACATGGACCTGGTGGAGCGGGGCCAGAGGAGGCCACAAAGATGATCAGAGGGCTGGAGCCCCTCTGCTGGGAGGACAGGCTGAGAGAGGTGGGGGTGTTCAGCCTGGAGAAGAGAAGGCTCCGGGGAGACCTCAGAGCCCTTTCCAGTCTCTAAAGGGGAGGGGAGCAACCTGATGAGGGAGGGACCCCTGATCAGGGAGGGGAGCAACAGGATGAGGGGGAACGGTTTTAAACTGAAAGAGGGGAGATTTAGATTAGACATCAGGAAGAAATTTTTCACTCTGCGGGTGGTGAGCCCCTGGCGCAGGCTGCCCCGAGAAGCTGTGGCTGCCCCATCCCTGGAGGTGTTCAAGGCCAGGCTGGACGGGGCTTGGAGCAATCTGGTCTGGTGGGAGGGGTCCCTGCCCAGGGCAGGGGCGTGGGACTGGATGGTCTTTAAGGTCGCTTCCGTCCCAAACAAATCTATCATTCTATGATTCTACATGGACGGTTTCTCCATCATCTCAGTTGCTTTCTGACAGTGGGACCAAGCTACACAATGTCTACAGTGGTCCTAGGTCCTCCCCCAGGATCGAGGCTCAGTTGTGGATGTGCTGGATTGAAGCAGCTCCTTCAGGAGGCAGTGAAGGGAGGACAAAGAACAGCAGGGAACTCAAGCTCCCAACAAAGGGAATCATTTCATGTCCTTACGACAGAACCAGGTCAAAGCGTCTGGTGTGAAGGACTTTTCTTTCGTAAGAGAAAAACATCAAGTCATCATAGTCATGTGAACAGCTAATTTGGATAAAACTCCATTTAAAGTAAATGAAAATAAAGGACTTTGATATGAATAGTCTTATCAAAAAGAAAAGCGGCAATTTCAAAAATTCCAATCAACCCTTTCATTTCCAAAATTATTTCATGCTATCAGTGAAAACCTAACACTATGAATGGCACCAAAGACTTTCTTTTTTGCCTCACAAAATCTTTTCAAGGGAATAGAAAATCTGTATTTTGGTTACAATCAGAAGACAAAATCCTATGTCCTTCCAGCACAGTGCTGTGACAGCTTTAAGTATGCTTTGCTGAGGGCTTTGAAGGTTTTGACACAGGTAGATTAATTTTCCCAGCAGCATTCAAGGAAAGCAAAGGAAAGAAGGAGAGAGAGAGAAGAAGGGAAAAGGCAGCCAATCTTAAATAATTCAAGGACAGAAAGACTGGGCCAGCAAATAAGACTTGTATGTTCAGCTTCTGCATAATCCTGGGTAAATCCAGATCTGCCCAGGCCTGCTGAGGTCATCTGATATTAACAGACATTAGGTGCCTAAATACTCTTGAATTCCAAGTCTCTCTATGCCTAAAGCCTGACCTACAATTTAAGGATTTTAAGTAATTAACATCATTGTGGTGTTGTGGGCATCAAGTCCTTTGAAGCTCTCTGTGATCACAGCAATGGGGTCCGTATGATGTACAGTCTTAAGCCAGTTTTAAAAATCCTTTCTTGACATACCTTTGAGTCCTCCTCCTTTCACTTTTCTTCACACACTTGATAAGACAGCAAGTTAGAAAAGCCATGGACATCAGCAGAATGACGGCACAGCTCACGATGGAGGCAATCACTGCAACCTTAAATCCAAAAGTCTCGTATTTTGATATGGCTGCAGCAAAGCAAACACAGAAGCATGTTTCTAAGGTCAACCCATGAATTTATTTTTCACATTTTCATTAAACCATGCTGAAACCTACCTGCTTCACACTTCCGCTAATAATAGCTCACTGAGGATTTTCACATTAGTATGTGTCCAGACACCAGAGTACAGTGGCTTCAGCTGAGAGCTACGCGAGTCTCAAACTGGGCTATTTAAAAACCTCCCATTTACAAGCCACTAATGAATTGTTCACAAGTATTTCACCACTGCAATTAAACAAACACAGTGCCTTTAGCGCTGCAGTAGCTAAAAAGCACAGCTTTGTTGGCATATCAAATGCAGATGAGCTAACAGGCCCTTGTAAGCAATTGTTAACAAGGACTGGAGCTGCAAACCCAAATATTAACAGGGGGTTAAAGAAGCCCTTTAGAGCAAGGACAGTTCCGTATAATTATAGCCTATTTGGCAGGCAGCGAACAACCTCTGTTTGGGGAAGAACGCAGGACGGGAGAAAGGACAGTGTCTGCAGAGCTGAGTGTTCACAGTGGTCTGATGCTGGAAGTGAATTATCCAGACAAAAGGAGGAGGGGGAATGTGGTGTGGCACAGCTAACCTGGATCTCTGCCAGCTCATTTGGAGCATTAAGCATGTCTTGCTTCAAAACCTATCTAGTTCTTCCAACACCATGATGACCAGCATAAGAACCGGTTCAGCTGAGCTCCACACAAAGCTTTGTATTTCTGCAGCCTCTGGAGGGAAGGATTTCTCTCCTTTTTCTTTAACGGAAACTCTCAAATGAGAGAGAAGAATAGCTGAGTGGGTAAAGAGAGCAGTAAGTGTCTAAAAGAGCCATCCATCTCCTGATGATGTAAAATTGCAGAAGATCTGAGACAGACTGAGATTCTCAAAGTTCAGAGGTACCATGTTTTGCTTGGGCCCACTTCTAGTCAAATTACTAACCACCTTGTAATAAATAAGAAGGAACACAGCGTGAAAGGTAGTTAATGTTGTTGCCATTCAAACACGCTCTGTCAATATGGTAACTTTCCCATGCGGCTGCCCACAGGAAGCAACTTAAAATTGTTCAAAAAAATACCACTGTCTTTCTTTTACAGCAAAAAAATCTTCAGAAAAGAATGCCAGGAGATTAGAGGGTTGGCAAATATGCTTGCACATTAGTTGGTCATATCTGTACATTTTCTAAAGCAGGGTACAGCTTGTAGTTACAGAACCACAGTTATGCTGGGTGCAATGCTCCCTGAGTCGGCGACGTGAGATCAGGCATAAATCTGACCGAGACTCTTCTGTGTCATGGTAATGAACGATGTCAGAACACATATGGAGCGCAATTACAGTTGGTGGGGGCAACTTTGAAGGAAATTGGATTTGTCTTTTTCCTTGCACAGATGTCTAGAATTAATCTTAACGTAGGAGATAGGCAAGGCAAAACAAACACAATGCAGCCCAAAGGGACTGGGAATGGTTTGGAAAGAGCCTTACGCTTGCAGGAGGGCACATCGGCTGTCCACTGGGTACTGTTCCCTTTCCAAACACAGGTGATGAAGCCTGGTCCCTCCAGCTGGTGTTCATCAGAGCACTGGAACGTTATCACCGTCCCCACAGCCGTGCCGTTGCCGTGAATGATCTGCAGCGTGCCGAGCTGGGGAGGGAAGACGTGGCTGCACTGCCCTGCAAAACAGCAACAAAAAGGGAGACAATGTAGTGCCAGAGCCAAAAGCAAAGGTCCTCTTCAGTTTTATTGCGCTCAGATTGTAAATCAGTCCAAGTTGATGGTGAAAAGAAGCAACAGACCTCGGGGTGGGCGATGCTGACTGCTCTGCCAAGTGCCAGCCCAAGGCCAAACCCCCTCCAGTGCCATTCAACAGCTCCACTGCCCTCAGCCCTGGCACAAAGTGGGATTTTACTCTTGTTGCAACATTATCTACTCAGACTGGTACATATTGAACTTTTTTTTTAAAAAAAAAAAGACAGTCATTCTGTGAGTGGCGTGGTCTCCTGCAGATTCCTGTCTTGTTGGACTCTGTGTGTTTAATTAGGAACTTGGGCTGGCACCTTCCACACCGGGAGTGTTCATAACATATCATCCCCCATGCAAGCTTTCCAAGATCTAGGGGATCGAGTGGGTCCAGAGGAGGCCACAAAGATGATCCGAGGGCTGGAGCCCCTCTGCTGGGAGGGCAGGCTGAGAGAGTTGGGGTTGTTCAGCCTGGAGAAGAGAAGGCTCCGGGGAGACCTTATTGTGGCTTTCCAGCATCTGAAGAGGACCTACAGGAAAGCCTTGTACTTTTTACAAGGGCATGTAGTGACAGGACGAGGGGGAATGGCTCAAACTGGAAGAGGGGAGATTTAGATTAGATATTAGGAAGAAATTTTTCCCTCTGAGGGTGGTGAGCCCCTGGGGCAGGTTGCCCAGAGAAGCTGTGGCTGCCCCATCCCTGGAGGTGTTCAAGGCCAGGTTGGAGGGCCTGGAGCAATCTGGTCTGGTGGGAGGTGTCCCTGCCCATGGCACTGGATGATCTTCAAAGTCCCTTCCAACCTAAACCATTCTATGATTCTATGATCACATATTGCAGCATTTCAGTCTACTTGGCAGCATCTTTCCATGACCCCACAGAAATTTCCCATCTTTCACGAGCACTGCACCTCTGTTGGTCATGGCTGAAATAAGCCAGTGGGTTCAACAGCCACTCTACAAGGAGGGGACAGAGACATACACATACAGTACAACTACATTCAACTTAGTTCCACTTTCAAGTGACAAGCTCTGCTTTATAGTGTATTATTCATTTTTAGTACATTTTTGCTCATTTGGCTTTTCTCTTTCTATTTCTTTGTCAGTCATACAGCTGTTCTTTGGGTCATGGAGGTGTTCTCTCAGCCACCTAACTTCAGCCACTAACTTTAGACATTGGGCTTTGTTGTCACAACATTCCTTGTTTCACACTCATTTAAAACACAAATTTTAATGACTGGTCATTAAGACAACATATAATATCCAGATATACTTCAAAGATAACAACAATAAATACATTCTTCTGGTTTTGTATATGTGCACTGACAGAATCTGGAAACTGTTTTACATCATCTTTTTTATCAAACATATTCTAAATACCAGCACTGCTTCTGCATCAGAGTACGAGTTCCCTACCTTTCACTGGATTTCCAAACGACTTCAGCAGACTCAGAAGCAACTGCGCTGCAGTTGCGAGACCAGAGTTGCAAGCAGTAGGATGACACACAAAAGAATTAAAAGGGGGGAAATACGCTTCCCTCACATGGAAAAAGAAACGCCTCCTCGAGAACATCTTGATAGAATGACATGTTGACAGCACATCTATTTTATTTTTAATACTAAAACTCCCACCAGTCCTTAATTAACACTAAGCTTCTACAATCAAACCGCAGCAGACCAGCTTACTACCTATCTTCAATTTATGGTCTTAAAAACCCCAGTCTTTGGAATAGAAACCCAAAAAAATTTCAGCAAAAGCCCAAACAAAAGCCACAGTGACAATTACTGGTCTAATCTACTAAGTAACTATGTACTGAGGACTAGCTTTTAAAAACATTCCTTTTTTAACTCCATGCAGATTATTTGTTTGTTTTGCCACTTCTTTCAGTCTCTCACTACGGCAGCAATTTGCCTCAATGAGAGCAAATATGTTCTTGAGGGTCTTTTCCCTTCATCTCTTGTCCCTCGCTCCAACATCCTGTTACTGGAACACACGGGATGTGTGCACTGGACAACCTGCCTCCTCACGTCAGACAAGCATTACAAGTTTGGCCTTTTCTTTTTGCCTTAATCACTCAGAGACTTACTGTTAAAAACCATTGTCTGAAGCTGCAAAATATCTACCTTTTTGCAATTTACACTTTCCAGGCTATTTTTAGATACCAGATCACATACTTAGAGTTCACATCGGTGACAATTCCAGCTGCATGAGATGCAGAAAGTAATTCAGAGCCAAATTTGATTCAAAGTACATCTGCTCAGCCTCCATAGCAGTGCTCATTAGATGCTTCCAGCAGACTTGCCAGTTTACCTGGACTCACTATTCCAGCCTTTGCTCTCCAAAGAATCATCATTTGGCACTGGATCCTTTCTTTCAAGACATATTTCATTTAATCCAGCATTGACCATCCTGAGTAACAGGTGCAGCTGTAGCTGGTTCAGGTGCTCTTGACCCTTTCCTGTTCTGTCCTTGCCCAGGACGGTACATGCCGAGTGATTAAAACCTCTGGATCTCAGAGACCTTGTCAGCATTATTCCTCAGCCATGGACTTAAATAATTTTTTTTCTTCACTTGACCACTATAAAGATTTCTAACAGCCCATATCCCATGGATATTGGCTATTTCCTCGCCTTGGCCAGGGCCGTGTCATCCCCAGGGGATCGTTCGGGTGTGAATGTAATTAGGGCAGGCACCACAGAGGCTCACCTTAACGACAGCTAATGAGAGCAAAGCTTTTGAAAGCTTCTATACCCAACTTTACACAGATGCTGAGCTGAAAGCTCATCAACTGCATTTCACGTATCTGCATTTGGCCAGAGTAGAAATACCATTTCCTCTTCTAAGAGCTTTTCAACACAATTTCTTCCAACCAACGTCAAAACACTACATGTGTCACTACTTTTTGCTTTTTACAAATGCTTTTATTAAAATGCATAGATGGATTTTTGCTGTGAATTTGTGAATTTTATCCAAGTTTGGATTTAGTATCTCTGGATAAAGTTTGCCCTAGTCTTCATCAGCAATGGTCTTCTAAATACTCGTTTGTAAAACTGCTCCCTTAAGTTCTAGCATCCTTTGCTAATAACTATCTATCATGTTTTTGTGGTTACTTACTGCATTCACTGTTCTGCTGGGCTAATTTTACCCTTCCACCTCCAGAAAATCATTGTTTAGGTAAGCTTCCGTCCTCATATTTATATAAGCACATGTTCCATATAGATTTATCCTTTGAATACTCTTCAAGGATGTTTATCTGACTAAATACAGTACAATCAAATTTTTTTATTATTATTTATTATTTTAAATATAATAAATCTATATTTTTGTTTTCAGCCAAGGCTGGTGTCCGAGGCTGTGTTGACTCCTGAAGTAAAACACAAACACTGCATAAACATTTGTGCTGACCAGATTTACATCTTGATTTATATTTATTTTCTAACTATCTAGAAGATACCACGTTCAGGTCTTGGGTTGCAGTAACAGTTAGCACCCAGAAATGTAAAATGGAATAAACCCCCTAATTATTGTTCACGTAGCTTTTGCAATAGCTGCATCTCACCACCCACAGATTCATGCCTGACAGCCAGCACCTAAAGCTAGGAGGAATGCTTGAGGAATTAACAGCTGATTGGCCATTTCTACTTAGTTTACAGTAAACATGAAAATTCATGATGTGTTGTTTCGTTGCGATTAGCTTCATGGCATCGTTCCTAGACTTGATACATGTCTCCAGCGCCTAGTTCCCATTACTCCTCCCTGATGTTCTCCATGCCCAGGCTCACACTCTGCTTACACTTCCAGATTCTGGCTACTACTTCCAAGCTCCAGAAGAAAACTCACTTGCTGACACAACCCTATGAAGCAAAGGCTGGAAATATTAGGTTTCGTATTTATTTTGAAGTCCAACAGAAGTTGCGAGGACTCTCGCTTGTTCATTTTGCTCTTTGAAAAGGATTAACAAACTGCCTTGTCCACCCTGCGTACCGTGCCACCGCACAGCATCAGCTCTGGTGACCCAAGATGACCACCAGCCATCAGCTGGCCAGTCCCCTTCAGGGCACAAAGAGCTGAACACATTCAAGTCCCTGCAGCTTCCTGTGAAGCAAGAGCTGATTTATACAAATGCATTTCTTAGCTTGGCTCCATATGAAGAGGAATCCCAATGTTCCCAATGTATCTGAATCTGCTGCGACTGTCGGCCAACACAGAAGAAGGGCATTGGTGACAGCAAATAACCAGATTATTTCATATTTCAATAACTGTCCTCAAAGTAAAGACACTAAAGTGTAGTGTACTCCATATATTCTTAAGTCACCCAAACCACTGTGTTCAGAACTAGACACATACATAATTTCCAGGCACTGAAAAACAGAGAGTAATGCAAGAATTAAGACAAAATAATCCAAAATATCTCTTCTCATGCACAGCCAGGATTATCTGTACTGCAAAATTGATTTGTCAGAAAGAGTTACCATATGGTTTCATTTTCAACAAGCTGCGGATTTATGTTTTGCTGATAAGAAAACAGAAATGAGAGTGCAACCTAGGCACGCTTGCCCGTTAAACATTTCCTGTGCTCCTTCCATAGGGAAACAGAGACTAAAAATCAAATACATCACATAAGTATACACCAAAATGATCTAAACCACAGCAATAATTACCTGAAAGCATGTTATCAAGACTGCCACTCGCTGTTTGTGCAGAAAGGGAGCAATCCATGACTTCTCCTCATTATTCCCATACACATGTAACTCAAGCCTTTGTGTTGCTTATTGTTGACTATTTAATGCAACTAAAACATGCTGGAATAACCAGATGCCAGTAAGAGACAGAACATTAGGTTCTATAAACCCTGCAGAATAAATAAACATGCTGATATTATTTCTGCAAGTCTATTTTCCTACAGAAGCACGCCTTAGAAATTAATGTCCCTGAAGTCACAGGCATAATGTTGAACATCCGCAGCAGCCTCACAGAAGAGCTCTTGGAAGAGTTCGCGATGTCAAAAAGCAAAAGAAAAGCAGCTAGAAGTGCAATATGAAATAAAGCAGATGCAGTAAAGCATCTTGTGTGAGTGAAACCGCCTGGCCCTGGCATCGGTCCCCTCGCAACCGTCCCTCCAATCCCTTGCAGAGCTGGCTGTGAGCGCTGCCAGGGCCAGGCCCTTCATGGCACAAAGTGCTGCAACAACGAATGGCTACCAGGAGAGCTCACCCTCCCACTAGAAAATTCAGACACTGGCACGGCTTTTTAAAAAATCAGTGTTAAACAAGACAGCAAGCCAGCAGTAAAAGAGAGGGGCTGAGGTCCTGGCTCTTGAACGAGGTCCCCAGCTGTGCTGCAGCCACCAGGCAGCGTGTGATGGAGACTTCCTACTGCTTGGTGGCACAAGATAATGACCTGCTTCCACCTTTTCTAACAGAAGCACATGTCAGCAATGCCATGATTTGACCTTTCCTACCTATTTCACTGGTTTCTGAGAGTCACTATAAAGCCAAGACGCTGGAAAGCTGTTTTAGACCTGTCTGCCTTCCATCACACAGGCATGGCCCTGCAAAGGTATTCCTCTGGGGCAGGTGTGGCAGGTCCAGGTGTGGCACAAACCACACTGCACCAAACCCCAGCCCTCTGCACACAGGGGACTCTAAGGACCACGTTCAGCGGGCAGGGCCAGGCTGGGCCACCACTACCTAGGGGACCTTCATTCTCTGGAGGCTGATGAAGAACTGCAACAGCAGCCACACAGGTGGCTCTTCCCTCAGGCCTGTCCCATGGAGGAACCATCTGGGCAACTGCAGACAGTGGAATATGAAGGTACCTACAGAAGACACCTGTCAGAGCACGTAGTCCGAAAAAACAAGAAACTCAACTTGTTAACAATACACAGGTCTCGCATCTGCCTGATTTCAGCATCGCCAAATGAAAATACTCCCTGTAAAACATTCTTGGTTTCTACTGAAAAATTAATTTTAAAATTGTGAAAGAGGGAACCCCATTTCTTACCATTCTCAGAGGCCACCATTGCACACTCGTGGACATGCTTTTTGAAAAAAGCTCATTCTCCCAGTGATGAGGAATTTCCATGTAATGAAGAGAGGAGGAGGGAAGTGAGTTTCTTTCTGTGTTTACACATCCATACTCAGAGGAGCTCTCTGCTCATGCTGGCGTTAAGCAGATACCTGAGGCTCACTCCTACCAACTTCCCTCATTTTTTTTGTTTTTCTGTTGTCCGTTTTGCAGCTAAAACTGATTTTTCAACACATCGTTTGCAATGTAATTAACAACACGCAATAGCTCTGCAGCACAAAGGGGTGCTGGGACCCCCACCCCAGGCTGAGCCTCATCAGTTGAGTTTTGGGCAGTGTTGCTTTCCTTCTCACCCCGACCTGCCCAGGGTCACTGGCGAGGCAGGAGACCCCAGGACAAGTGAGCACATCTCAGCATCCTGCATGCTTCCTCATGCATGGCTGCTTTCCGTCGGGAATGCTCCTGCGATTTCAGTTCAGCCAGGGCAGTGTTTGGGCAGCGGGCAGAGCAGGATCCCTCCTGGCTCGGGGCCGGGAAGGGTGCACATACAGAAGAAGAGAGAAGCAAACGCACCCAGAGCAAAGAAAGAAACGGCACAACGTCAAACACCAAGCAGCTCGGAAACGCGAGAGAAGAAGAAGCGCTCACCAATGTGACCTTGTCAGGCAAATGAGCAGCAGCCCAGACCCAACTGCTGTTGGATGGTGAGGAATCTGATCCCCCTGAGCCTCGTCCCTTGACTGGACAAAGCTGGTGTGAAGCTGGAGAGAAGTCATGAGCGAGGCATTAAACCACCTCGTCAACAGGGCTGAGGTAGAGCAGACAGTGGTGCTGCCCCTGGATGGCTGCACCCACCTTCTGTGGGGCTGCCGGTTACTCACTCTATGGAGCCTCCACCCATTACAGAGCTGCCATCCCCTATGGAGCTGCCACCCCCTATGGAACTGCCATCCCCTATGAAGCTGCCACCCGCTGTGGAGCTGCCACCCCCTGTGGAACTGCCATCCCCTACAGCAAGATGGAAAAATACGCAGGAACTACGCAGGAACATGTTGACCACTGCGTGGTCCTTGACAACTCAGGGTGCCCTTTCGTGGATGAAGGATGGTAAAGCCTACTCCAGGGTCTTTTCATGCCTGCTAAGGTAGCAAAAATTATCAGAGAGCAGCAAATTCTTAGCTTCCATCTCTGAAAGAAACCCTTGTGCTACGCTGCTGCAAAATCTTACATCCAAATCTGAAGCAGACAAATTCAGTTCATCCCTCTTCACGATACCGAGCCTTTTTCTTTTCTCTCTCCCAGCATTTTTCATGCGGCTTTTGAGCTGCTCACTGTAGCGAACAAGATGCAGCAAGATTTAGGAGTCAGTGCTAAACACTCC